AAGAAACAGCAATAATAATAATAATAATAGCAGTTACCACTTATTGAACCCTAACTGCTCATCAGTCACAGCTCTGAGTGCTTCTCAAACATGATTTCACCACAGCCTCCTTTCAGTTCTTTGAAATAGGTGCTGTCTTGAGGAAATTGAGGCTTATAGGGGTCAGGCTGGTGAGTCACCCATATCTGAACCTCCAGGGGCTACGCTCTTCACCAGGGCTCTGCCCCACAAACTTGGCTCTTTTCTGACAAGCTCCCCCTTTAGTCAGTGTCCCTGAGAGAAGAACCTTGCCACTCCTGCCTGCCTGCGCTGCCGCTGCCTGCAGGCCCAGACAGGACAGGCCCCAGCTGCCTCCTCAGTGGCTGAGGATGGAGCAGAGAAGAATCAGGTTTCTCCAGCTCCAGGACGGAGCTGAGGTTGCTGAGTCAGGCCTCTTCTCAGGCCTTGCCCTGAACTGAGCCTCCAGACCAAGTGTGGATGAGGCCCAGGACTGGGCAACTGGGCTCCACCTTTTACTCATCTGACCTCATCTCCCCCTGCACTCTGGCTGTTTGTTCCAGCCACACTGTTGTTCCTGCTAAACCCCACAGAGCCTCACCAAGCATGCTCCTGCCTCAGGGCGTTCGCACTTGTTCCTTTCACCTAGACATACCTGCACACTTGCTCCCCAATATCCTCGTCTTTGCTTAAATGCCACATTCTCAGAGAGGCCTTCCCCGACTACTAGAACTGAGCCCCCACCCCAGCCCCTTACTTCCTATGTTCCTTGCCAGCTTCACCTTCCTTCTTAGCCTCACCTTTCAGTGTACCATTATGTTACTGACTTGTCTTGTTTATGGCCTGTCTCCCACTGAATAAGGACTCCGAGGTGCAGCATGGAACCTGGGGTGGGTAAAATAGTGGACTGTTCTCTGCTCCTGGGCTAGGGAGTAACTCTGCCCATCCAGCCACACTCTGGCCCAGTATTTTAGTTGTCCAAGAATCCAGATTAAGACCTGGCCTTCCAGACTGCTGTGAAGACACACTTGTCCACCTAGAGAGATTGAATATCTTTTATTTAACAGTTTACAACCTTGACTCATATGGTATGTTGGTCCTACACACATTTGCCTGGAGCCCCCTTATATATTTCTGTATGCCTAGCACTGGGGACAGAACCTGATACTGAACACATGCTCAGGAAGTAGTTGTTAAATAAATGAGTAAAAATAACCCTGGAATGCCTGGCTGGTGTGGCTCAGTGGACTGAGCATCGTCCCATGGACTGAGAGGATCTGGTTCGATTCCCAGTCAGGGCACATGCCCGTGTTGTGGGCCTGATCCCCAGTAAGGGGCAAGCAGGAAGCAGCTGATCAATGTTCTCTCTCATCGATGTTTCCATTTCTCTCTCCTCCCTTCCTCTCTCTAAAAATCAATAAAAACATTAAAAAAAAAAAAAAAAAAAGGGAACCATAAAAACCTCTCTCCAGATGGTTGTGAGTGGAAGAGTGTGTGTAACTGACTCTAGGCATGTGAAGGGCATGGCCAGTCATTGACCAATAATTAACTGCTGCTGCTGCCATCACCATCGTCACCACCAAAGTGTCCAAGGCATTTCCTGGCACATGGCACAGACTTCTGTACTTGGGACGTGGTAGCCATTGTGACTGTTTTGCCCTGGGGCTCCCTCCCTTACTGCAGACTTCTCCCTTGGTGGCACTGGTGGGAGGCTCACCAGCCACACGGTAGTCTGTCGTTCTGGTGAATGATGCCCTCTGCTGGGCATGAGGGGAAGGGCCTTCAGGGAAGCTACAGCCTCCCTGACCACTGAATACCTTCCTGCAGACTGGGAGTGCCTGGCTTAGCATGTGAGTGTGGAGACCAAGGAACACTTACACAGAACTTGTATGCCAGGCACCCTTCTAAGAACTGTAGAGAATTAACTAATTTATTCCTCCATTTTTAAGATGAGAAAAGTGGGGCAAAGAAAGGTAAAGTGACATATGTGTCTAAGGTGTCATGCCTAGAAATGCTGGGATTTGAACTGAGCCCTGAACCACACCTCCTTGGTGGATTGTTTCAGTGGGAGGTAGGCTCTGCCTTTAGCCAAAAGGATGTTGGCCTCATGGAGTTCCATTGAGTCTGGAACTGGACATACAGGGTGCAGGCTGCCAAAGGGGCTTCTCAGGGTGACCGCCCTTCCTGACAGCCACCCCTCAGCACTTCTCTGCCTGAGTCTCTTGCTATGTCCCTGGGTGGGCTTGTGGTTAAGGAAGGTCCATGCCTAGTATAGGAAACCAGAAATTCAAGGCCTCAGCTATCCTGAGAGCCATCTCCTTCAGGCCCCTCAAGGGCCTGGACAAAGCCCACCTAGGGAGATAGATCCTATCTGCAACCTCTTTGGTAGGAAAAAAAATGGTCAGGTCAGCCACAAGGAAAAGGCATGGTGAGAAATGAGGCCTAGGCCCTGCTCATCTCTGCCCTACTAAAGGGATCTTGGGGAGTGCCTGCTTTTGGAACCTCTATCTTTTGCCATCTGAAAAATGACAGGGGTAGACTGGGGCAGTTTCAAAATGCTCTGAATTTGGGGGCCCCTGAAATATTTCTTAAGGAGTAATATTTGGAGGATGAGGCCAAGAGGTGGATCTCTGAGCACTCCAACCCCTTCTTCCAACTAAGTCACTTTATCTTTTTTATTGGAGTTGGGTTCTAGGTCTTTGGCTTTTAAAAGTCTGCAGGACTGGGGGGGGCGGGGTAGGGAAGTCACTTAATAGAATGAACCTGGAAGGTCCTTTCAGCACCAACCCATCATCCTAGACTGAACCCTCCCTTCAGAATGGGGATGCCTTGATCCCAACCAGGACCATGCCCCCACGCCAACCCTCCCTAGTTGTTGGAAGTCTGGCTTTAAAGCATCTGCAAACATGAATGCTCCAGGGAGTTTAACAGTATTAAAGGCAAAAAACCAGAATCATCAATGTCCAAGGATGGTAGTGAGATGAAATAAATGCTAACACATCCAAACTTGATGTGATGGAGAGAGTAAGGCAGCCTCCTTGTATGGCCTGTTATAAGAAGAGATAATGTAAAATGCATTATGTCTGCACGGGGGGGGGGGGGGGGGGGGGGGGAGCAAGACTGCAAGGATGCACACCCAACTGTTGAACCACAAAGTGTAAAGATTAAATATTCAGGATATAAAAATCAAACATTAAGGTGGTCCCCACTGGGATGGAGGGTCACACTGGTTACAGTTGGCACCCACTCTGAGTGGTTAGCACTGGTGACTTACTTGTTTTGACTTCTTATTATAGGCCTTAAAGACAAGTCCTAAGATCCCATTTTGTAGATAAGAAGCAGGCCCAGAGTGAGTGACATCACACCCATCCCTATCATACAGCCCAGGCTCAGTCCTTCCAAATCAGAGGCTGGCAACTGGATCCATCACCCTGGGAATCTAGATTCATCCAGAGAGACCAGGTTTGGCTAGGAAAAGCCACTTTTCCTCCTCGACCCACCTCCAGAAATCTCAAGAGAGGAAGGCCAGCCTGAACAGTGGTTGTTTGGTTTTATTATTAGTCTCCACTGAAGATAGGGTTTCAGACTTTATTCAGGCTTCTCGGAGAGGAGTTTAAGATAAGGGGCAGCAGGTGTTTGGTGGCTAAGATACCTAATCCTTCTGCACAACCTTATCAGCAAAAGCAGCAAGGCCCTGGTGGAGGGGAATCTGAGGCCACAGGAGCCAGAGACAGGGGGCAACCTTGACTGTGGGCTATGGCACTACAGACCAAGGACTGGTGAGGAGGTTTCATACCTTTTGATTTCTCCATCCATGGTCTGCGGCTCCCGGACACCCTTAGCTTCATCCTTTGGAGCCTTGGTCTTAACTTTTTGTGTGCATCAGAATTACCTGGAAGGCTTGTTAGAACTCCTGCCTGCAGAGTTTGATTCCATAGGTGATGTGGATGCTGATGGCCCAGGATTGCACTGGGGGAGCCAGTGCTTTACAGAATGGGTCCCTCTTGCAGAAGGGAACATTTATTTCAACTTCAGCCATCTTTTCAGCTTCACTTCAGATTCTTTCCTTTTGGTTCATTGTGAAGGAAAGTTTAAACTTTGTTTAACAAAGGCACACATGAACTGTTCTCTCCCCGCTGCCTCTTCAGCCTCATTATTGCATCTGTGCCTGGGTGTTGTCAGAAATGTTCCAACTTCACTGACATGCTAGGTGAGTTCTTTCTGTCTGGCTTGATTTTGATGATGATCAGGTGTCATTAAAAAAAAAAAATACAATGAGACCATTCTTTATAGGAGGAAAAGCCCCTCAGAGGGTGATTGTGAGGATTTGTTTAAAGGAAATAATTGAAGTTAGGTGCTGTCCGGGCCTAAAAAGGACTAAATGGTAGCCGTTACCAATGTATACAACTAGCACTTACCATGTGCCAGATATTAATTCACTTGATCTCCATAAGAGCACCTCATTTTATGCATGAAAAATCTGAGGCAGGTAGAGGTTAAGCGACTTGCTAGGAAGTAGCACAGCCAGACCCTCCCCAACCCCTGCCTTTCAACACAGAGCCTGCAGCACAGGGGAGGAAATCACCCAGTACACACACCACACGAGAGCGCTGTCACCGTCTGAGAACAGGTGTTGCCAGCAGCTCTGGTAGGGCTCAGCTCAGGGGTAAGGAGGTTAATTGGTTCTCTCACACAGATGAGAAACTCTGAATCTGCAGGGAAGAGAGTGGGTTCGCCCCCCCCCCCCGGACTGTAAAGGAACCCTGAGTTTCCTCTGCCTTGCTAAGCTGGAGGGTTAAAAGTGCTCATTCCCCTCACAGAACTCTGAAAACCACTGAATTTTCCACTTAAATGGGTGAATGGTATGGTATGTGAATTATAAATCAATAAAACTACTTAAAAAAGAGTTCACTCCCCTGACACCTCTGGGAAAGTTCCTTTAATAAAAAGTTCTTACATTTACACGATTGTCATCACTCGTCTACAGCATTCCGTAGGGGAGATAAAAATAAAAGACAACCTAGACGCGCTTAGTATAAAAATGCAGTCATCCACTCAAATAGGAGGCCCTGAGGCCTGGAGATCAGAGAAATGCATGAGGCCCCTGAGCTGAGCAGCTCTGGCTTGGGCTTCTGGAGGGCTCCAGGGGACGGTTGAGGACCCGCCTCTAACATTTTGAAAATAGCATTAAAAATAAAATCCAGGTTGTACAAAGAGGCCTCTGGTCCAGAGAGAGGACCAGGAGAAAGGTCTGGTCCAGAGAGAACGGGATTGTGGGGAGTCAGAGTCGGTCCAGGCCCCAGACACAGGGCTGAGCATTTCATGGCAGGGAAGAGACTCCTGTAAACTCAGCTTCAGAGGCACCCCAGCCCTAGGCGGAGATTTTCAGTGCTGAAGTAAAACTGCCCATGTTTGGGCTTAGAAACCAACACCTCCAAAGTCAGACTTGAGGTCTCTTCCCTCCAAGTTGCTAAGGCCACTTCTCAACAGCTCTAAAGTCCTTTGCTGAGGGGGGACTGAGACCCTTTAAAGATGCAGTTGCGGCCTGATGTTTTGTCCCTGGCCCTGCTGTCCCAGAGCCCTAGTCATCCTGGCCACCCCCATACATGTCGGCCAGCTTCTTGAAGCGGCTGCCCCATTCATTCAGATAGTCATAGTCGTGGTCCTGGTCAGAGGCCGAGGAGGTGAGGGAGCTCAAAGAGGGGGCCTCAGAGCTGCTGCCCTCATAGTCGAACACCAACAGGGAGTCATAGGGCGGAGCGGTGGGGTCCGTGTTAGCTGCCTTCAGGTTCTATAGTGACAGAGAGCACGTGGTTAGGAGCTAGATGATCACACACTTGGCAGCTGTCAGAACTCACCTGGCTGAGCCTGCCTCCCTCACTTGGGAAGCCACTTCTCCCCTCCCTTAAGGTTTTGAAGGTTGAAATGAAATAATGCATATAAGTTCTCAGTACAGGGCCCGGCATACAGCAAGTGCTCAGTGAGACAGGCCAGTGGTGAAGGGTAGGGATTCTGAAATCAGATGGCTTAAGTCAGAACTCAGATTTCACAGACTACTATGTGGCGTTGGGCAAATCCCTTAACCACTCTACGCTGCTCTTTTCTTGTCTCTGAAATAGGGAGACTTCATATAGTTTTAGAGGAATAAATGAATATATGTAAAGTGCTTATTAGAACAGTACCTGGCATAATAGTGGAACATTATTACTCATTTGTAAAATGAGGGAAACAATAGGATTCCTACCTTGCAGAGTTAACATAGGGATTAAATGAGACAGTATTTGCAAACTGTCCAACAAAGAGACATTCTAGAAACTGACTTCCTCTAACTGGAGGGAAAAGCTCCAGATATTTAGCTCCCAGGTGTCTTCTCAAACCTGCCACCCCAGGCATCTTTCCCCAGATGCTTCTGTTTTTGCACAGCACTCTCAAGTATGCTCAGGCTACTTCTAGAAGGCAAAAAGTTTAGTTTCCTCTTTTGCAGAAGACTGAGCCAGAAAGGGTCAAGCCAAGGTGAGGCATCCTGACTTCCCACTGAGCCTTTTGCCAACTGCTGCTTCCTCGAACTCCCAATCCATCCATCCACCCATCCATCCATCCATCCATCCACCCACCCACCCACCCACCCTTACTATTAAAAAAACTCCATTTACTGAGTGCTCGTGAGGTGCCAGGCTCTATCATCTATTTCCTATGTACCTAGTTCAGTGGTTCTTACAACCTTGGCTATATTTGATTTCCTTAGGAAGCTAAACATATCAGAACCTAAGGAAATAGATACCAGGGTCTAAGGCATTGATATTTTTCAAAATTCCTCAAATGTGTGACCAGAGTTAAGAACAATGGAGGCACACAGCTATTAGCAACAATAGCTAGCATTACCTAACAAATGCTAGGTGCCAAGTTAGTGGTTCCCAAACCTAAATTACCTGGGAGTCTTTACTTTATTTTATTTTTTTATCCTCACCCGAGGACATTTTTTCCATTTTTTGTTCAGATAGAGTGGGAGGGAGAGAGAAACATCGGTGTGAAAGGGACACACTGAGTGGCTGCCACCCGCACGACCAACCAGGGCCGGGGACAAACTGCAACTGAGATATGTGCCCTTAGAGGGAACCGAACCTGGGTCCCTCTGGACCGCAGGCTGACATTCTAACCGCTAAGCCAAACCAGGGCTACCTGGGAGTCTTTAAAACATTCCAAAGCCCAGGCCAAATCCAGGTCAACTAAATCCCAATCTCGGGGTGGAGTGGAGTGAGTCCGAGGCATCAGTTTTTGAAGTTCCCTCGAAGGCTGCACTGTGCAGTAGCCTGGGAACCATGGTGCTAGCACTGCTCCAGGTGCTGACTCATCCAATCCTTACAGCAATCTGTAACCTGCTCCCAAACTTGACTCCACACCGGAATCACCTGGCATCTTTAAAAATCTAAACCCAGGTTCTCTGACTCCAGCGTTTTTCCCTAACCACCACTATACAGGGTGAGGCAAAAGTAGGTTTACAGTTGCTCATATGAAAGATAATACAATATTTAATAAATAATAAGAATAAACTCTGTGTTTTGAATACTCCCAACTTTAAACCAACTTGTGGCCAACCCTGTATTTGTTGAATCAATGAATAAATTATTCCTAATCTATTCTTTACCACTCTGCAAGTTAGGGTTTCATAAAGCAGGAAATAGAAGTTACTCAGCTGTGCCAGAGGTCACACAGCTGGTTGGTGGTGAAGTCAGGATTTGAACCAAGAGCCCATACTCTTTGGCCTGTACTGTTGGAGCTTAAGGACAGGGCTGCCCTAGGCTGGCCCCCATGCCTCACCTCGGTGATAAAGTTGCCGATTTCATCTGGGTTGGCTGGTCGTGGACGGTACATAGATGTTGGGATAAAGGGTGGCACCACATCATTTCGGAGAACAACCTTGGGCCGGGCATCGAGACCCCGGTGGAGCTGGGTGATGTCATAGTCCTTCAAGAAGGAAGAGCATGAGATTGAGAAGGATCTCCGCTCCTCCACCATTTACATTTCACACCAGTTTGCTAACATTTGGATGTTCTGGTTCATGGGTAGGTCTCAGAAGATAGAAATGTCAGTGATTTCTGAAAGCCCCAGTCTCCATATCCCCTCTCCCAAATTAAGTGCAGGCTGAAGGTCACCTTGTCTGGGGCCAAAGAGACTACAGCAATGGACCAGACACCCTCTATGAAGAGGAGAGTTGGTGCCAATAATGCATAAAGACTGATGCTTTAGGCCAGGGTCTGGTCAACATAGCTAAGTAACATGGTTAGCTGGTTGACCCAACCATCCCTGCCAGTGTCCCTGAGGACATCCACTTCCCAAACTCCAGACCTCCCAATGCCCTACCTGGTCCTCCTCGCCGCCCCCCTCTTCGCCATAGTAGAAGACGTTGTCACGGGTGTCGTCTTCCGGGAGCAGAAGGGGTTCCTTGACCTTCCGCTTCTTCCTCACCAGCAAGAGGAGCACCAGCAGGAGGACTGAAAGGGTTGGGGAGTATGACTATTCACCCCCCACAACCACACAGCTGGCGAGGACCTCTAAAGCCCTCAGAACCCCATCGAGTTTTAGATCCCTCCACTCAATAGCCAGACCTAAACACTCCAGTCAGTCCATCGCACCTCCGAGAACCTGTAATTCACCAAGGTGTACAGGATTTGGCTCTGGCCTATCGCCATTGCCCCCATCCCCTGCCCAGGTCTAGTCACATTGGCCTCTTCAGCGCTCCTTAAAGATACCCAGTAGGTTCCCACTTCAGAACCTTCCTTTGGGCTCTTTCCCTGCCTGTCACATCCTCTATGAATATGCATGGCTCTCACCCTTCTCAGCTTACGGTCACCTCCTCCTGGCAGCATTGTGACTTCATCCACACCTATAATTCTGTATCATTTATTGTCAGTCTTTCCTTATTGATGGTACTGGTCTTAGGGAAATTCTCCTTTGCAGAGATGGGACTCTTCCAGCTGATGTTACTTTTCAACAAGATTCTTTCTTTTTTTGTTAATCCTCACCTGAGGATATTTTTCCACTGATTTTTTTTAGATAGAATGGAAGGGAGGAAGGAAGAGACAGAGAGAGATAGAAAAACAGAGAAACATCGATGTGAGAGAGACACATCAATTGGTTGCCTCCTGCATGACCCCGACCGGGGCAGGGGATAGAACCTACAACTCAGGCACCTGCCCTTGACCAGGAATTGAACCCCAGACTCTTGGATTTGCGGGCTGATGCTCTAACTGCTGAGCCAAACTGGTCAGGGCTTAACAAGATTTCTTTTTCAGTCCCAGGAGTCCCCTAAAGTAGCCAGGCTTTAAGTTAAAAGCAAAATAACTTGGAGCCCCGTCTGGGTGGCTCAGTTGGTTGGAGTGTTGTTCCATACACTGAAAAGTCAGGGTGCATATGGGAGGCAACCGATCAATGTTTCTCTCTCTCCTTTTCCTTTCCCCTCTCTCTCTCGAATCAATAAAAAAATCAAAAACAAAACCAAAAACAATTTTGCCCTCGTCAGTTTGGCTCAGCAGTTAGAGCATCAGCCCACGAACCAAGGGGTCGAGGATTTGATTCCGGTCAAGGGCACATACCTGGGTTGTAGATTCAATCCCTGGCTTCAGTCAGGGTGATGTGGGAGGCAACAAATCAATGTCTCTCTCACATTGATATTTCTCTCTCTCTGCACCTCCTTCCCTCCCTTACATGCTATCTAAAAATCACTGGAGCCCTGGTTGGTTTGGCTCAGCGGTTGGAGCATCAGCCTACAGACCAGAGAGTCTTGGGTTCGGTTCCCGCTAGGGGCACATACCAAAAAAAAAAAAAAAAAAAAGATACTAAAAAAAAAAAAAAATCAGTGGAAAAATATCCTCAGGTGAGGATAAAAAATAAACAAACAAACCAATCAACCACAACTTTGATATGGTACAGTAATCAGAACTTAGGTGCAAGTGCTATGTTGGAAATTTGAGCGAAGGACTAGCTTTTGGTCATATGGTGTAGACATAGGGGGACTGGCCAACTGATGCCTGGCTGCTCCCCCTAATGGCCATGACCACCCCCAGTTAATCCCATAGGAAAAGCGTACCCCTTGGTCCTTTTTCTGTACAGCGGCTGCTGATGGAACCACTGTCTCTCTCTAGCCAGATGAAACAGACCTACCCTTCTTTGGGAGTCAATGCATTCTCAGGATGCATACCTCATGTGGGATAGACAGTGATCCCTCCTCCTCTTTTCCTCCCCACTGGGTCTGGGGAAAGACAGGAGGCGAACTAGATTTCTCACCTATACCCAAAGCTTATGTGTCTAACTGCCTAGTGATATCTTAATGTGGATTAGACTGGCAAATCTCCCCCAATAGTTCTTCCCAGACTGGTCAATGAAAACTCCCGTGTCTACTTATTCAGGGCTTAGACTCATCAGTGGCTCTTTTCCTCATACCACATATCAAGTGAAGTGGATGAATTGATTCTGCCTTGAAATATCCCCACCTCAACTGCCATCCTGGTCTGAGCCACCAACCACCACTTCACCCTTAGATTATGGCAATAGCTCCTAAATGGTCTCCCTGCCTCCATTCTTGCCCCTCTACAGTCTGTCCAGTACTATTCAGTAGGAGTCCTGCAAACTTCAAGTCAGGTTCCATCACTCCTATGCTCCAAATCTTTTTGGTGACTTCCCATTTCACCCAGAGTCCTTACAAGAGCCTACAAGGCCCCACGTACTGCTCCACCATGCCTACCACCTCTCTGAGCTCCTCTCCTATTCTTTTCCCTCTTGCTCTCTGCGCTCCAGCCATCCTGTTTCCACACACCAAGCTCAGAGCTGCCGCAGGTCTCTGCACTTGTTCCCTACATACTTGCTGAATTGCTTCCTCACCTCTTTCAGGTCTTTGCTTGAAAATCAGCAAGGCCTTTCCTGCCCATCTTACTTAAAATTGAAGACCTACTTCCCCCTCATTTTTCAAAAAATATTTTTTCTTATTGATTTTGACAGAGAGGGGAAGGGAGAGGGAAAAAGAGATAGAAACATCAATGAATCGGCTGCCTCCTGCATGTCCCCTGCTGGGGACTGAACCCTGACCAGGAATCAAACTGGTAACCTCTTGGCACATGCGTTGGCACTCAATCACTAAGCCACAACAGCCAGGCTCCTTTTCTTTTCTCGATAGCAACACCTATTTCTCTGCCAGAATACTTGTTGTTCACTCCCTGCACTAGAAAGTAAGCTCCCCGAGGGCAGGGATTGGTCTGCTCTATTGCATGCTGCACCCCAGAGCCAAAGCAGTGCGTGGTGCACAGTACACTGGTTCATTAAAGCTTGCTCATGTCATGGTCATATCTGATAAAATGTTTTCTGTGTAAGGACTCATTTAAAGAGTGAAAAAGGCAAATGTGATGAGTTGTACCTTTAGAACAAAGAAATTACTTTTTTTTTTACTCCTTGTTCAGATAGAGAGGGAGGAAGAGAGAGGAAGAGAGAGAGAGAGAGAAACATCGACGTGAAAGGGACACATCGAGTGGCTGCCACCCGCACAACCCAACCAGGGCCGGGGACAAACTGCAACCGAGGTACGTGCCCTTAGCGAGAACCGAACCCGGGTCTCTCTGGACCACAGGCCGACGCTCTAACCGCTGAGCCAAACTGGCCAGGGCAAGAAATTACTTTTTAACTAAACAGCCCTGCCTGCGAGCCCAATGGTTCTCAAACTCTAACATTCATCAGGACCCTCTGGAGCACTGTTAAAATCCAGATTACTGTCTGGATCAGTAGGTCTGGAGTGGAGGCTGATAAATGGCCTTTCTAACAAATTCCTGGTAATGCTAATGCTGTTGGTCTAGAGACCACTTTCAGAACCACTGCTCTAGCCTCTAGACAGTATAATGGCAGGAAGTCTGTTTGTTCACCACAGTATCCCCAAAGCCTGGCACATTCCAGAAACTCCATAAATATCTATTGACTGAATGGCACTCCTGGAATTACAAGTTTAAGGAAAAGAGGGCAATGCGGGTGGCCCCTCAGTTCCAGAAGTTCGGGGTAGAATCAGGTATTTTCACTATCCCATCCTTAGAAGGGGAAGGGTGCAGGTACTCACACAGCAGTGCCAGGAAGGCCCCCAGGATGGGAAGGAGGAAAGCCCCCTTCCAGCGTTCGGGGCAGGTCTTCACGTGGCCATGGCAGTCGCACACGGTGGCCCTGATCACTGCCAGCTGTTTCTTGTTGCCACGGTCGGACAGAGACAGGTGTACATTGTATGTGTCTTCCTTCAGGAATTTCTTCAGTGACAAGGCCACTGTGTCTCCTGGAGTGGATAGATCATTTACTCACCTTGGGAAACCATAAATGATGGGAACAGAGTATATTATGATGGAAGTTTGAGGTGACAGCCTCTATATCTGGGTGACAGAAAAATATCCCAAAAATACACTTATACCAAGTGTTAAAAATTTATATTTGGCCAAAGCCAAATTTGCCCTCATGGTAAGGATTATTGGGGCAGAAAAATAAACTTATTAAAAATACAAACAATAATCACAGTATTTTTTAAAATATAAAGCTTTTTAATAGTCTTGTCATACAGAGCCAATAATTTCTCAGCACCATTAGCTGCTAGACTATTCTTTGTCTCAAAAACAATATTGTTCTTCCTGAGATAGCTAACCTAATATTTTATTTATTTATTTAATATATTTTTAAATCACCACCCAAGGATATGTGGTTTTTAAAAAATGGATTTTTAGAGAGAAAGAAACATCTATGTGAGAGAGGAAAGTATCAATTTGTTGCCTCACATACACACCCTGACCAGGGATCGAACTTGCAACCTTTTGGTGTATGGGATAATGCTCCAAGCAACTGAACCATCTGGCCAGGACTAACCTGATATTTTAATAGTCATGTTAACTGGCCACCTGTTTTCCTATCTGAAAGTTCACTACCTTTGATTATTGCAGCATTTTGCTCTTGCAATGGTACATATGTTTATACCTCAACTGTATGATAGCATTTCAATATCCCAAACACTGATGATTTCTGAGTGAACATCAATTATTAATAAATTCAAATGCACATGACTTGATGATATAAATGTTGTTAAGCAGATCAGAGAGGATGCTAACCTGTGTGATGACTGCATTAGTGACTGCACACAAGTCAGGGATGCTAGAAATAGGCTGCAATGGACACTGAGCCAACTGGCCTTCAAAATCCCAGGAGGGGTGGCAGGCTAATTACAGGCAGAAGCTGGGTTCAGTGCAGCCTGCACAACAGGCATTATTGTGGGGAGACTGTGGGGCAATCCCAGAATGGGGAGAAGGGCTATGTTTGCAGGCGAGAAATAGAGGGTCAGGGGCCTCTCTGAAGAAGGACCTTCACCTTAGATGCGAGTTTCTCAGCAAGGGAGCTATTGAAACTTGGATGAAACTATTTTTCATCATGCATGACTTTTCCAAACATTACCGATCCTTACTACTAAATGCTAGTAGTGTCCCTCAATCATTGGGGGAATAAAAAACAACCCCACATTTCTAGCTCACCTGCCTATTTCAGCACTGACTTCAGGCCATTTTCAGTTCAAAGGCTTTGCACACTCACTGAGCCCCTCTTAGTGAAAAAGGCCAGAAGGGAGACTTCATCCTGATCCCATTCAGCAATGGCAGGCAGGCGGAGTTCTGCAGGCTGAATATTTGGTCTACCATGTAGAGAGGCCAATGTGGGATATTTCACTAAAATATTCCTGTCACCATCCTGTTCCTAGAAATTGGAGGGCCGACTTCTCAGTTGGTGTTGGTGGTTATGATGCTGGTGGCAGTGGTGACTACATTGACACTTACTATGTACAAGCCCTACTCCAATCTTCACCACAACTCAGAGACAGGTGCTATCATCCCCATTTTAAAATGCGAAAATTGAAGCTTAGAGAGGTCAAGTAACCAGCTGGAGGTCATACTGGGTAGAGTTTGAATTAATTCCCTTGACAATGGGGACAAGATCAGGTCAAAAAACGAAATTAAAACCAAGAACCAGGTATCAATACTATTATCAGGTGCCAATACCACTGGACTTTGGCCATAATGCTCACACCTGACAGAACCAGAGCTGATTTGTTGGGAAATCGCAGTGGTGAGAATGGCTGCTTGCATCTACAGAGCACGGACGTACCAGACCAGATGCTTTTCATGTAGTTACTCACTTAATCATCATAGTAACTGTAGAAGCAGGTACAGTTATTGGCACCATTTGACAGACAGGAAAATTGAGGAACAGTGAGGCTCAGTAACTTTCCCACAATCACAAAGCTGGTAAATGAGGGAAGTCAGGCCTTGGACCAAGATGTTCTGGCTCCAGAGTCCACACTCTCTAAACAACACAGTCAGGGAGGACAAAATGACTTCTAGGCCACAAGGGGGTGACAGAAGACCAATTTGGACTCCCCATAGGAAAGGTGCTGGGTATTTATACCCAAATCACAGGAATCACAAAAATGAGCCAGTGTGGGTGTCTGAGGCAGGTTGGGAAGTTCTTTCTGCGTTGGGCTTAGCAGCAGTAATGGACACAAGGTATTTGGTTTCTTTGGGGCAGAAGCTGAATGTACTGGTTCCCCATTTCCCTTCTGGGGGACTTTAGCCCCAAGAGGAAGAAGACGACATTTGAAAGGAAAGGGATGCAATGTTTCTCCAGAGACCTTATTGGCACTTGTGTTGGATCTACTTTTCTCATGCACCCTGGGTCCTCACCTATTTGAAAAATCCCTCTCTAGGCCTGCGACAAAAACTATTGAAAGCTAAGAGGCTGCAGGGGTATCAGAAAGAGAAAGGACAGAGGCAGATGAAATGTGTGTGTGCGTGTGGTGGGCGAGCGGGGGCAGGGGCTCTGGCTTCAACCTCTACTGCTTACCCGCTCTGTGCTCTTGGGCATGCTATTTAAGTTTAAATTCTCTGAGCCTTACTCTCATCTGTAAATAGGGATAAAAAATACTGACCATAGAGGAGGTAGACATATTAAATAAGAAATAAAAAAGCATCTTGCATATCACCAGGGTTCAATGAATGGGAGGCAGCAAAACATTATGGTAAACCAGACTGCCTGGATTCAAGTGCTGGTGCACAGAACCTCTGGCAAGATATTTAAATTTCTGTAAGACTTGGTCTCCTCATCTGTAAAATGGGGGTGCACAAGTATGTAGGTGATAATAGTTCCTTCTTCACAGGATTATTGTGAGGATTAAAAAGTCTAATCCACTTAAAGCATCTGAAGTGGGTCTAGCACAAAGTAAGCATGCTGAGTGCATGTAGCTATTATCACAGAGTTGGGGTCCTAACTCATTACGTGATGCGGAGATGGTCATACCCCACCCCCAACCCTGATTGTTTTTCCATCTGTACAAGAAGGCAGTTGGACTAGTATGGTCTTTAAGGGCTCCTGTGGAATTCCAAAGGCTTACACTAGATTAATAATGATCATGTGATTCATGTTCTTGAGGAGACCATTACCTCTGTGACCCACAGATGCTGAGTGGGCATGTGTGCAGGGTCCTAGTCCAAGACAAACACCCACCCAGCAGAGCTGGCACCCACCTGCCACCGCCACCCAGTTACCTTTCTCATTGACCTCTGCTGTCCAGTAGATGTCCGAGTCGTGTGTGAGCTGAGCCTGGAAAGGGGAGGTGTGGGGGGACAGGTCCTTGTCTGTGATGTTCAGCACTTGGGGCACAGGGCTTTGGTTGCAGATGGTGATCTGACGGGGCTCAGGGATAGGGCCATGGTCGTTGACATCCATAAGCGTTAGCAGGAGGGTCCCCGTGCCAGTGGTGGGAGGGCTCCCTGTTTATAATTACACATATGATCCTTTTTCAGCATCTGACCTTGGTTGGGTTGATGAATCAATGTTAAGCTCCCCCTATGACCTACCCAGTCAGCCTCAGCGAGGGTCCTATTACTGCCCAGATAAAACCTCTCAAGACTTTCCGTACACTAGCTTCACTATAGATCAAACCAGTGATGGCAAATACAAAGCAATCATGCCAGAATTCTCATTTCGTGTCCACAGCAGACAGTACTAACTGATCAGAGCATAGACTTGCAGCCGCTTCATCCAGATAGCCACTACCAGTCTATCACAAAGCAAAACCTACTGGCCACCTCAGGGTTAATGCAATGTTTGCTGTTCAGCTTCAAGGCAGCTTCCTTCATAGCCCTGTGGTCACCTCTCACTTGCCTTGATTCACTCGTTGTGTCAGACAAAGATGGCAATCACATCATAACCCCCTCCCACCATAGTGTGACATCACTAATCAAGCCCGGCACTTCCAGACAGCCCCTTTTAATTAATCAAGGGGAAATTGACAGACTAATTCAGGGCTCAGTGAACCACAAACTTAGTCTGAAAGGAGTCTTCAGGACATCTCCTAACTCAGGTTTTAGGAAAATCAGAACCATGGCCAGCCACCTTAGGACCAGTTTCTTTTTTTAAAATTCTCAACCGAGGGTATTTTTCCATTTATCTTCAAATATAGTGGGGGGGGGGGAGAGATGAGAGAGACACATTGACTAGTTGCCTCCCACACAACCCCAACCAGGGCCATGGACTGAACCGCAACTGAGGTACGTGCCCTTGACCAGAATCGACCCTGAGATTCTTTGGTCCACGGGCCGATGCTCCAACTGCTGAGCCAAACTGGCCAAGGCTAGGACTGGTTTTTAAAAGACTCCTCTGAAAGACTCTTCAAACCTTCCAGATGGGACTGCTAACACCCCCTTCCATACATAGACACACTCTGCCAGTTGAGGGGACATGCTGTGGTATGTGACCTGGGAACCAAAGGTGCCCAAGAGGACAGGCTGGGAGGAAGCTCTCACCATCATCCATGGCCAAGACCATGACTTCGTAGATGTTGTTCCTCACAAACTGTTCATCCTCACGATCCAAGACTCCTGCAGCAGTGACCTGCCCACTGTCTGGGTCCATTGCCAGCCACTCTGCTGGGTCTCTCAGGATACGGTAGCTAGAGTGGTAAAGTTGAGGAGAGTCACACCCAGAATACTTAGAATTCTGGTATTGTCATTCAAAAGCTTCCTCATGCCAACTAGCAGATGGCGCCTTGGAATGCAAGGCTCCTAAGCAGGATCATGTGGAAAATGCATTTTACCCCTAAATGGAAACCTGAGCAGCAGGTGGGGGACAAGTAAGAATATGTGAGAAAGACCCTTGGACCCCTGGCCAGAGTCTTTAGCCTGGGGGAGGGTAGCAAAGGGAGGAAGGAGGGATGTTCAATATATTTAACAATTTTTATGACAATATACTGACCATAATGAACCACCCGTCCAAAAGTCCCAGTGCATCTGGATAAATCTGAGCCCAGCTCTTGCATACCTGATCTTCTGACTTCCCCTGTCAGGGTCCTGCGCAGTGTAGGTGCAGACAGGCTCCCCAACAGAGATGTCCTCCTGGACCTCGACGACTTTGGAGGGTGGGACAAACACAGGTGCCTCATTCACATCCTCCACATGGACCACTATGGTGGCCGTGGAGGTTGGGAGCTTCACTACAAAGTGAGCCTCATTGGTCACTTCAACATGCAGAGTGTGCTGGTTTTTGGCCTCAAAATCCAAGCCCTGGGAGAGAAGGAGGAAGACTTGAGCTGCCATTTTATGAGGAGGTCCCATGCAAAGCTATGATGTCAGAAGGAGGCCCAAACATAGTGAGGGGCTCGAGGATCTCACCAACCATAACGCTGCCCCTTCCCTACCCCAGAAAGCCACCTACATTTCCTGAGTGGACATTCAGTGGGACTCTCAGACCACCCCATCGCCCCAAAGCCTACCAGACAAGTAAGCCCCAGAACTTGTTCCCTAAGCACCTCTAGCAGGTGCTACAGAAACTTGTGGAAGTATTTTTAGCTGTCATAATGACTGGGGATATCCTTGGCATTTATAGGCTGAGGCTGGGACAAAAAGAACCATCCTATAGCCCATGTGACATGCCAATATCCCCTTGGACATTCGTTTATTCACAGGTGTGAAAAATCTGTTTATAATTGCAATCTAAAACATGTTTTATGTAAAAAACTATTTTTGGTGTGATTTTCATATATACTGAATTTTCTAGGAATGGAACTTCTGAGGGGAAATTGTAATTTGATTTGTTCAGCCCTTTCCAAAGAGTTGTTTATTTATTGTTCTGGAAAAAAAATACAAAAACATTGATACCACTTGTGTTGTGAGCCGCACGAGCAACACAGTATTCACTACATTTGGATGATTCTACAGAGATACAAAAATAATCAAAGAAAGATTAGTCCCATCTTCCTAAAGCACCAAATTTATTGATGTAGTAGTTAAATGCCTAACTAAGTAATTTAGAACATTTTACTATCTAATCACCTAGATATGGATTAAATACAAAATTAGCAAGAATTCCAATAAAACAGAGACCCTCTGTGGGAGAAGACTGACGGAGGCAGCCGATAGGACACTGGGAACTGAGAGGAGGGTTCCACTGATCTGCTTCAATTAGACCTGTGACTCTCCAGTTCCATGAATTGGGTCCCTGGTTAAGATTTTGTATAAAAGGAATTATGCAAAAAAAAAGGGATAGAAAAGTGTCAGAAGCCATTGGCCTGGTGCGCACTCTGGTGACTGGTCCAAGGTATGTGTCCCAAGACAGGTGTTACCTCCTTGTCCTGGAGGCTGCAGACCTGACTGTCCCAGGTGTGGTCCTCCTCTAAAGCCCAGAATGACTCACCTTCCTGGTTGTCAGGATACCCTGGTTGCTCTCGGGGTGGGTGGTGATGGTAAAATGGTCCCCATCGTCACCTTCCAAGATGCGGTAGGTGGCACGCCATGCCGGTGAGTTGGGGACGTCCAGGTCAGTCACTGTCAGCCTCTGTACCTCATGGCCCACCATGTTCTCAGGCACGCGGGCCTCATACTGTCAGTGTTGGAAGCACAGCACAGTCAGAGTGAAGAGACTGACCATTCAGAGACTGTTCCATTCTTCTTCAGCTGTGAATCCTCCATTCAACTCTAGGGAAGCTTCATGCCTCTTACCCTTTCCAGGACCACACAGCTCACTTACCAGGGCTCTGGGCACACTGAGAGGCAGAATGCCCAAGTCAGTGCCCCAGCAGTTGGGACAGCAATCTTGGGCCTGCTCTCCCTACACCCAGCAGACTGATGCTCCAGAAATCTCACCGGTCTGGGTACCCAACCCCTACCATGTGTAACTACCTATTTAGCTGAGATCAGAAAGGCATAAGGAAGGTGGCAAGAAGGTCTCAGAGTCTGAGTGCTCTGGGGCACTGACTGGGAACTTTTTTGGAAGTTCTAGAACAGATGACAAAGACTGGGCAATCAGTGGCTCAGAAGAAATTTTATTTATTTATTTATTTATTTAATCCTCACCCGAGGACATTTTTCGATATTTTGTTCAGATAGAGTGGGAGGGAGGGAGGAAGGGAGGGAGGGAGGGAAAGAGAAAGAGAGAAAGAGAGAGAGAGAGAGAGAGAGAGAGAGAGAGAGAGAGAAACATCGACGTGAAAGGGACACATTGAGTGGTTGCCACCCACACAACCCCAACCAGGGCCAGGGACAAACTGCAACCGAGGTACATGCCCTTAGCAGGATCCGAACCTGGGTCTCTCCAGACCGCAGGCCGATGCTCTAACCGCTGAGCCAAACCGGCCAGGGCTCAGAAGAAATTTTAATCAGCCTTAAATAATGTTCAGCAGCCAGAGTTGCCTCAATATAGAAGGAGGTTAGGTGTCATCTTGACTGGCACTGAGTTCTGTCACTGGAAGTGTACCAGCATTTACTCGGTGGGTGGGTACAGGTGCAAGATAAATAAGAAGTTTTCTTATCATTGAAGATTTTTACTGTCAAGCACTTATTATGTACCAGGGATTGTGTTACACAGATTATTTCATTTAAAACTCAGAGCAATGCAGCAGGTATTATTATCCCCATTTCTCAGATTAGGAAATGGGGCACAGAGAGGTTAGGTAGTTTGCCTAAGGTCACATTGCTAGTCAGTGGTGAGACTGGAATTGAAGCAACGTAGGCTGGTCTGGAGTTTCATTAGAAAAGAAAACCCTAGTCCTTAATTGTCTGATGAGGGAAAAAGAAAGAAAGGGGCATTACCTTCTGGGGATCAAACATGGGCGCATTGTCATTGGCATCAAGGATATCCACTATGGCCACTGCTGTGGTGGTGGAGCCGTCCCCGTCTACGTCTGTAGCCTGGATGGTCAATGTGTACTTAGGGACTTTCTGGGGAGAGGAGAGTGGAAGGCTACTGAGAATGCAGCCTTGGGAGAATGTGGAGGGGAGGGGACTGTTTCTCCTTCTCACAATGTTCTCTTGACTCCATGACCCACCACTCACCCATCTCCCAAAAGACAGAAGCAAAGGGTGGAAGGGGAGGAATACTGCCCATTCAAACAGCATCCCTGGGCCTGTCGAGGGTAAAGCCTGGGCATTGGCCCCTGACCTTGAGCAGATGCAGAATGGGAGCTTTGAGCAGGGATTTGGTCAAAGGTATTAATTAGGAAACAGGAGGCAATTCCAATATCCATGGAGCTAATCCTACTTTGTGGCACACAAGGGACAAATCTGGACCATGTGCATGCTAAGTGAGCCGTTCCGAGAGGAAATGAGAAAACCTACAGAAAATATCAAATGTCTGCATTTTATAGCTGCCTCCTCAGCCTTAACAAGATTGTTTGGCAGTGTGCCATTGGCCCAAGGGACCTGAGGGACACCAACATAGGAGCATTGCAGCAAATGCCGCCAGCTGACTTGGGTCCCCACTGCTCAACCTTGGGCTTTGGGGACAGGGACACAGGCTTCTGCTCTGAGTGTCAGGCCCTAGCCTGGGCAAGCCTGGGTAGGCAGCACTTCATAAGGGCTACTCACCTCCCGGTCCAGGCCACTGGAGATGACGCTGATGGTGCCTGTCTTCCGGTGGATGGTGAACATGAGGTCATGAGGGTCCTTTGGTTCTTGGCTATGAATGGAGTAAGCTACCACCCCATTGTAGGTATTGATGGCATCATCCTCATCTGTGGCTGTCACCTGCATCACAGAGGTGCCTGGAGGGAAGAAGGGATGAGTGAGACCCTTCCCTCCCAGCTCCAATTCCAGCCTTGCCCACTTCTGAACTGTAAGAATATGGGGTGACTTGGGTCCATATTCTACTTTGTGACAGAGATCGCTAATTAGCACCCGTTTTCCATTCTCCCCTTCTCCTTTTTTCCCTCTTCTTTCTTAGAGACATAATCCTCATAATCACTTCAGGCTAGGCACAGGCTTACCTGGAACAAAGACTATTTCCCATTCCTTCTTGCAGCTAGCTCTGACCACAACACTAAATTCAAACAAATGGGATTTATAACTTTGAGGGAAGTGTTTTTCTGAGTATGGGGATTATTCTTCCCACCTTTTCCCTCTTCCTAGATGTAATGGCTGGAACTCCAGCAGCAACCATGAGGTAGTCTTGGGAACCATGTTAAAACAGCAGAGCAATGAGATAGAAGGAGTCTAGATCTCCAATGCTTGAAAATACCACTCAACCCTGGCCGGTTTGGTTCAGTGGTTAGAGTGTCAGCCCTCAGACCTTAGGGTTGTGGGTTTGATTCCCAGCCCTGGTCAGGGTTGTGTGGAAGGCAGCTGATCAGTGTGTCTCTCTCATATCAATGTTTTTCTCTCTTTCTCCCACTTTGACTGAAGATAAATGGAAAAAGTGTCCTCAGGTGAAGATTTACAAACAACATAAACAAACAAACAAACAAACAAACAAAAGAGAAAGTACCACTCAGCCCGAATTGACCACCTCTAGGTTTCCTGAATATAAGAGGGGGGAAAAAGCTTCTGTCTAGTTTAAGGTACTGTTTTTCTTTTGGGAATTTCTACTATTGGCAGTCTAACCAATTGTACATCTCTATACATATTGTTCACAACTCAGAGGGGAAGAAGAGGACCCCTTCCTAGCAGCACATGTCTTTGAGAGCATTAATATGTACCCACTTTCCTAGTTTTCTGTTGGCCTCCCCTACCCTCTTCTCCAGCCCTGGGAATTTACATTTTGCTCAGCCTAAACAATGTTCAACATCTCCTCACCTCTGCTGCTTTCCTGCCATTTACCGAAGAACCTTGCATCAGGTGCTTCAAGTTACATGTTATGTGTGTTATTTCTCATCTTCACAATTCTGTAAGGGTGATATTATTGCTATTTTCAGATGTGAGGATGGAGGCTCAGAGGTCAAGACCGTGCCCAGGGTCACAGTAGGTAAAGAGGAAAAATCAAGTTTCAAATCCAGTTTTTGTGGTTCCAAAACAAGTAGTTCCTAAACCTTGCTGATTATCTGAGATTTCTAGGAAATTTTCAAATATACAGATTCCAAAGTTCTACTCCAGGATCATTATTACTCAGGGATCTTGGGGTGGAGTAGGGGAATCTGGATTTTAAAGAAAATCCCAGGTGATTAATTGCACAGCTAAGGAAGTCAGGTGTGGAGGATTCTTCCAGCCTTGAAGGGTCTGAGCTGATCTCCAGTTGGTACTATTGTTGACCCAAGGCCAGGTCTGGGCCCAACAGACTTCTGTAGCTATCCCCTCCCCAGTCCTCTTACCAGGCAGTACTCCCTCCAAGACGCTCCCTCTGAAGACATCCTGGGTGAACTTGGGCTTGTGATCATTCTGGTCTGTAACGATGATGGAGATGTTCATGGGCTCTTCCACCGAGGCACCATTCTCTGACACAGCGTGGCCAAAGAGCTGTGGGCACACAGGTCTGGGATCAGCCTGGCGCTACACTTCCTACCAGGCCCTGGGGCCTTGCTTCTCATTGAATGCTAAAGATTACTTGCCTCATACTTGGCAATCTTCTCCCGGTCCAATGGCTTATTCAATAACAACCAGCCTGTTTCCTTCTCTATGGTGAAGACACCCTCAGGGGGGCTGTCTGCTCCAGGCCCCGTGATGCTGTAGAAAATCTTGGTGCCTCTGTCCTTACTAGATTTGAGCTAGAAGCAAAAAACACAAAAACAAAAAATACAGCTGACAAAGAGACAAATATCTCATGATTGCAGCAAGGAACCGTCCATGGAGAGGGTGGAGAGGCATTGCCTTATTAGAAATTGCTTCCATGAGAGAGGCCTTCCTCTGTAGGCCTCAGTCCTCAGTACCAAGAAACCTCATATTCAGGCCTTTAGGTGAAGGTCCCTGCAGCCACCAGTGACTCCCAGGAAGAAGGCACAGTCTTACCTGATTCAGCTTCTGAGGGAAGGGACCCTTGCCATTCTCAGGGACGGATATTGGTGGGACCACCCATTCTCTCTTGTGTCTTCGTAAGATATGTTTGGATGGGGAGAGCTTCCTTTCCTGTAAGGAGAGAAGACCCTTTAATCTAGATGTGCAAACAGTTGGAGTACAACCAACATCCTCTCACCTACAGGAGTTAAGGGTAAGAAGAGAGACCTAGATGGGTCGATAGCAAAAGAAAAGTTGGAATAATCTAAGTGCTCACTTACAGAGGATAACCAATAAAATATTCTATGGTACATACAGCTAGTGGAATATTATGGAGCTCTAAAACTGAGGAATAAAAGCCCTGGTGGGTGTGGCTCAGTTGGTTGAGCATCATCTCATGTATGGAGAGGTCGCCAGTTCAATTCCTGGTCAGGGCACATGCATGGATTATGAGCTCAATCCCCAGTAGGGGGCATACAGGAGGAAGTCAATCAATGTTTCTCTCTCCCCCTCTCCCTTCCTCTCTTTCTAAAAAAAAAAAAAATCAATAAAAACATAGATTAAAAAATCTTTAAAAACAAATAAATAAAAAATAAATAAACATGAGGAATAACCCCGGCTGGTGTGGCTCAGTGGTTGATCATCGACCCTTGCACTAAGAGGCCACCAGATCGATTCCTGGTCAGGACACATGCCCAGAACGTGCAGTATGCAGGAGGTGCCAATTAATGTTCTCTCTCATTGATGTTTCTATCTCTCTCTCCCTCTTCCTTCCTCTCTCTCTAAAATCAATAAATTTTTTTTTAAAAATGAGGAATCATGAAGCTCTCTATGTGCTGACATGGAAACACCTTTGATATATACTGTTGAATGCAAAGAACAAGGTACAGAACAGCTGAATATAGTTTAGCATTTTATTTAACAAACACATAGTGCTTAACAGATGTCAGGCACCGTTCCATCTCTTGTGTAAAATGGTAGAAAAATAAGACCATATATTTATATTTGCTTATATATAAATGAAGTCTAGGGGAATACAGAAGAAACTGATAATGATGGTTATCTGTGGGAAGGGGCTTGACAGTATACTGTATATATATTTAAGTGTAAAAAGAAGGTAAATAGTACATTAGCTTTTACATAAGAGGAGGTAAAAGAGTCTAATTTTACATTTGTGTGTGTGTGTGTGTGTGTGTATATAAACCATAAAATATAACTACATAACATGCATCATTAAACTCCAGAAGGAAAGAAGCTGTAACAGTGGTTATCTGTGTCTTCTCTTGGAGGGGTGGATAGGGCATTAGGCAGATGGAGAGAAACAAGGGGAGATTATTCATTGTATAATTTTGAATATTTTAAAAAATTTTGACCCATGTACATATTAGCTACTCAAAAAATTAAATTAAAAGAAACAATGTGGCCAGTGCCTCATGTCCAACTTCCCAGAGGATCATGGGATTGGCAGTTCTGTGTTGGAATTGCCTTCACTTGGGGTTTAATCAGACGCTATGGGAAAGGAAAGAGAGGTGGGAGAGAGAATCCAAGGGACAAGGGCACTGGACTATTACTCACAAGGTGGCTCTCTGCCGCCCCTACTGGGCAGCTGCAAGCACTACCCTGTGGCAACTGAGGGTTACCACTGCCTCTGAAGAAACAACGTGGCTCACAACCACAATGTGGGCATGCATGAAGAACATCTTTCTTCCATCCTGCAGGTGGACATGGTGTTTTACCTGGACTGTTCTGTCGTTCAGTACAGTGAAGTCATCGTCAGTGCTAAGCAGGGCTGACTCTTGCCCAGGGCAGCCCATAGAAACTACTGTGGGGAAGAGAGAGAGTATTAGGAAGGAGGGGCTTCTGGAAGCTACCCTAGAGAAACAAGACCAGACGACAGCCCCCTGATTGGACCAAGGACTGTTCCAGGCCACTGCAGAAGGAGGCTCAGCTTACTTCCTCTGAGCAGCAATGTGACCAAATACAAATTTCAGATGGGGCTTCCAAGTTCGGTCTCTAAAGGGAGGACCACTTTGTGGTCAGTTTGTGGACCAACCCCCTTTCTTCATTCATAAGGCCAGAAAACCAACGTCATAGACATTGAATGACATTAGTCCCCAGTGGCCTCATGAGACATAGAGGTGACCCAAGGTCAAAACTGGAGGCAGTAGATTTTCAGCATCTCTAAAAGCCACAAGTTTACCTACATGCAATATGCAGCCTGCTACATACACCATCACTCACACAGGTTACTCTGGGCAACCTCTGGTTGTTTCAGCTTGTCACACTCCTTCTGAATTCCTCCTGCTTGGCCACCCTTTAAACAAGCATTCTGAGTTTATAACTGCCATTCACCAAGCCAGAGACTGGGACCATTTCATCCTTACAACTACCCCACAAAGGTAGGTGTTAGCCTCTTTTCAAAGATGAGAAAACTGAGGTTCAGAAGCCAGGTCAGTCTGATTCCAAAGCATATGCTAAAGAATACTCATAACCAATGCTCTTACCCACCCTTCCTTGTAGCCAAAGCATGAAATCAGGGAGCCTGCTAGAGGCCACACCTGGACCCATCAGCACCATGCCCTGGCCCAGTGGTTCCCTTTGTGTTGGCCCAGATACCAGTGCTCATCAATTCACTAGACTGTAGCACAACCAGGACCAAGGGGACAGTGCTGTGCCATGGAAATAGCAGGTTGAGGACTTCCTACTATCCTTTTTTGAAAAGTTGTCCTTTAGTCTTAGATGATGATGATTATATCCTTAGTATAAGCAAGGATAACAAATGAGGTTTTCAGTAAACTACAAAAGCAATGTGGTCCTGGCTGGTGTGGCTCAGTTGGTTGGGCATCATCCTGTGCACCGAAGGGTTACTGGTTTGTTCCCAGTCAGGGCACATGCCTGGGTTGCAGGCTTGATCCCTGGTGGGGGTCATGCGGGAGGCAACTAATCAATGTGTCTCTTTCACATCAATGTTTCTCTCTCTCTCCCACTCTATCTGAAGATAAAAATGGGAAAAAGTATTCTCAGGTGAGGATTTAAAAGACAATGTATAGAGAACTCCTTAAAAACTGAAAAACAGCCCTGGCTGGTGTGGCCCAGTGGTTAGAGTATCGACCCAAGCACCAAAGGTTTGCAGGTTTGATCCCTAGTCTGGTTAGGGCACATGCAAGAGGCAGGCAATTGAAGTGCTTCTCACATAGATGTTTCTCTCTCTCTCTCTCTCTCACCCACCTACCCTCCCCCCTCCACTCTCTAAAAATCAATGGAAAAAATATCCTTGGGTGAGGATTAACAAAAAAACAAAACAAAACAAAAACCCCTCAAAAACAATAGATAATATCATTAGTCATTAGGGAAGTGTAAATCAAATCAATGGAAAAAATATCCTTGGGTGAGGATTAACAAAAAAACAAAACAAAACAAAAACCCCTCAAAAACAATAGATAATATCATTAGTCATTAGGGAAGTGTAAATCAAAATCACAATGAGATACCACTTCACACCCACTAGGATGGCTATTAAAAATAACCCCACAGGGCCCTGGCTCCGGTAGCTCAGTTGGTTAGAGCACTGTCCCATATGCCACGGTTGCAGGTTCGATCCCCAGTCAGGGCACATACAAAGAATTAACCAATAAATGCATAAATAAGTGGAACAACAAATCTCTCTTTCTCTCTAAACATCAATAAATTTTTTTTTTTTTTTATCCTCACCCAAGGACACTTTTTCATTCTTTGTTCAGATAGAGCAGGAGGGAGAGAGAGAGAGAGAAACATCGATGTGAAAGGGACACATCGAGTGGCTGCCACCCGCACGACCAACCAGGGCCGGGGACAAACTGCAACCGAGGTACATACCCTTAGCGGGAACCGAACCTGGGTCTCTCCGGACCGCAGGCCGACGCTCTAACCGCTGAGCCAAACCGGCCAGGGCATCAGTAAATTTTTTAAAGTGTGTAAAAATAAACCCCACACAGCCCTGGCCAATGTGTTGTAATTGGTTGGGCATCTTTGGTAGGGGGTGTGCAGGAGGCAGCCGATAAACGATAAATGATTCTCTCTCACATCACATCAATGTTTCTCTCTCCCTCTTCTTTCCTGTCTCTCTAAAAATCAATAAAATATTTAAAAAAGAAATCACAACGTGAAGACATTGGAACTCTCATGCATTGGGAATGTGAAATAGTGGTTCATCAAAAGGTAAACAGAACTACCATATGATCCTGAAATTTCACTTCTAGGTGTATAACCCAAAAGAATTGTGGAAACTCAAACAGATACTCATTCACAAATTTTCATAGCATTATTATTCATAATAACAAAAAGACAGAAACAATCCAACTGTCCATGAAAAGATGAATAGATAAACATAATGTGGTTTCTACGTACAATGGAATATTATTCAGCCTTTATTTATTTATTCATCCTCACCCGAGGACATTTTTCCATTTTTTGTTCAGCTAGAGTGGGAGGGAGGGAGAAAGGGAGGAAGGGAGGGAGAGTGAGAGAGAGAGAGAGAGAGAGAGAGAGAGAGAGAGAGAGAGAGGAGAGAGAGAAACATCAACGTGAAAGGGACACATCGAGAAGCTGTCTTCGGCAAGGCCCTGACCAAACCAGGGCCGGGGACAAACTGAGGTACGTGCCCTTAGCGGAAACCAAACCCGGGTCTCTCTGGACCGCAGGCCGACACTCTAACTGCTGAGCCAAAGTGGCCAGGGCTTATTCAGCCTTTAAAAGGAATAAAGTTCTGCCCTGGCCGGTTTGTCTCAGCAGGTTTGCTTACAGCCAAGGGCATATACCTTGGTTTTGGTTTGTCCCGGGCCCTGGTCAGGGTCGTGTAGGAGGCGACCTGTCGATGTGTCCCTCTCACGCCGATGTCTCTCCCTCTCCCTCTCCCTCTCCCTCTCTCTCTCTGCCTCCCTCCTTCCCAATCTATCAGAAGATAAATAGAAAAATATTATCCAGTGAGGATTTAAAAAAAACAACACTAAAAGTGAATAAAGTTCTAAGATGTACAATATGGATGACCCTTGAAAACATTATGTTAAGTAAAATAAAGCAGTCACAAAAGGACAAGTACTGTATTGTTCTGCTTACATGAGATAATTAGGATAGTCAAATTAACAGAGAAAGTAGAACAGAAGTTCAGGGGCTGGAGAGAGGGGGAAATGGGGAGTTACTGTTTAATGGATATAGTTTCTGTTTGGGATGATGAAAAAGTTCTGGAGATGGATAAAGGTGATGGTTCCACAACGCTGTGAATGCTCTTAATACCAATGAATTGTTTACTTTAAAATGTTTTTAAATGGTTAATTTTAATGTTATGCATATTTTAGCTCAATAAAACGTGAGAGTGTAAAATGGGACAGTCATTTTGGGAAACTGCTGGGCAGTATTTACTGAAGCTAAATACACACATTCCCAAGACCCAGCAATTCCACTTTGAGATATAGTCCCAACAAAAATACATTGACCAAAAGACATGTATTATAACGTTCACAGCAGTACTGTTTATAATAGCTAAAAACTGGAAACAGCTTAAATGTCCTTCAGGGTAGAACAGAGAGAAACATTAAGGTATATTCACATAATGAAATGAATAAACTACAAGGACATTCGATAACATAGATAAATCTTACAAACATATGATTGCCTAATAGAAGCCAGATCCAACAGAGAACACATGCATGATTCCATTTACATGAAGTTCAAAAACAGACAAAACTATCCTAGGTGAAGGAAGTTAACATATTGGCCATAATTTGGGGAGAGGGGTTAGTGAATGGGAAGGGGGCTAAATGGGGACTTAAAAGCACACAGAGCTGCCTTCAGCTCCCACAGCCCAGTGCCAGTTCCCCAGGGCCCAGGAGCTCACGAATAATGCATAGAGGCAGGATCCTTTGTGGGAAGGCTAGAATGTGCCCACGAGAAAGAGAAGATTGCTGAGAAACCAGCCCTGCATCCTTGACGACATACATTCCCACTGAGGAGTCATGGGAGAAGGAGAAGAGGGCTCTAAGCCTGATTCAACTCCAGAGGGTCCCAGGGGCACAAGATCCCCAGGAACACCCTGCCCTTTACCTCCAACACACAGCCTAGTAGTCTCATCTTTTGAATTATCTTGCTTTGCTTTAGGGCTAAAAGGACAAGGAATGACATGTGGCAAAGGTTAAATCATCTTAATATAGGGCAAGAGTTAAATAATCTATGGGGTACTAACTCCATGGATTATTAATCCAGCTATGCAAAGTGATATTTATAGTAGTTTTTAAATTATCTACAGAAGTTATGCTATAACATAAAACAACATAAGCAGAATGTGGAACTGCACATATAGTATATAAAATAAGGCACAGAAAAAAAAGACTAGAATAAAGTCCACTTTCCTAGTGATTGGGGTTATCAGAAATTTACTTCCTCTCCCAGCTGGAGTGGCTCAGTTGGCTGAGCATTGTCCTGTGCACGGAAGGGTTGCTGGTTCAATTCCTGGTCAGGGCACTTGCAGGAGGCAACTGATGGATGTTACTCTCTCACATCAATGTTTCTCTCCCCCCACTCCCTTCTCTCTTGAAGCATGTCCTCTGGTGAGGATTAAAAAAAAAAAAAGAAAGAAATTGCCTTGGCCAGTTTGGCTCAGCATTGGCCTGTGGACCAAAGAGTCGCTGGTTTGATTCTGGTCAAGGTACATCAGTTGTGGTTCACCCCTGGCCCTGGTCAGGTGATAAGGGAGGCAAACAATCGATGTGTCCCTCTCACATCGATGTTTCTTTCTCTCCCTCCCAATCTATCTGAAGATAAAATAGAAAAATATCCTCAAGTGAGGAT